TTACCGGTATTTTACCAATCTTACGTAAAGAAAATAAATTACTTACAAATTTAAAACCCTAGTCCTGTCTTCCATCCCCCCTCCACGAGTAATGTCCAAGAGGGATGCATCCTGCAGGCAAGACAAGGCCGGGATTAGATAAAATGTTTCCCATCAAAATAGGGGTGGAATGGGTGAGGGCACCAGCGCTTGACCAATCAGAGAGCGGCTGTATATTTCTCCGGTGTTTCCCTCCTGCGCGCTTCTCGCGACTTCAAATTTCTTCACGTTTATGGAAAATAAGAGGAAAGTCGACCAGGTCAGTTTTTTGTACGACGACGAATAACTGTTCAGTCAGTCCACGAACAGCTTGGATTCGAAAACTCTGTGTTCGAGGACGAACGAGCACGAACAGTTCGCTGTCCGAGTTCGCTCGACTGCGAACATGTTCGCTCATCTCTACGCCCCACGCCGCCCGCAAGGTAGGCAGCTTATCCAACTTCACTGACGGGACTTGGAACGAATGCGGGCATAGAGCTCCAAAGTGCCACGGTCCAGTTTCGTACCAGATTCTCATAAAAGGGCGAAGATCAATGAATCGTCATCATAGTCCTTTAGCCTAACATGCGTCACACGATGTGACATTGATCACCATAGGTCGGCATGTTGCGTCCAGGGATATCACTAGGTCACAGCAGGTCACCCCTGTAGTGGGCGTTCACCACGCTCACGCACAGTGAAACCTGCCAGCTCCGTAGGGACATTTGTTTCAATCCCAAATTTCTCGAAAACTATTCATCCCACAGCATCCCGGCTATTATGGCCACAAAATTTCGTTGTAAAAGTAGCAAAATATTCTTCTGGCGAATGTTTGTACTCTTTGAGTTTTCCCTCTAACTGTGTAGTACTATAATTCCAGCATGAATATATTCTTGACTTAACGACCCGCAAGGCCACTTTTGGCCCAAAGGTTCAGATTTGATATTTTTCAACTTTCTAAATCATTTAAAATATTCCAAGTTTT